CCAAACACATACAGTAAAAATGCCTGTTTTGAAGCCTTCAAATGGTGCAGGAAAATACTTTACATTGGGTTATACAGGACTATTCAGTTAAGAGAAGAGAAAAAAAGGAAAGAAAATTGTTATAATGGGTGATGTAACATTAATGACAGACATAATATGAGGTCCTTGGCAGTCAGACTCTAGAGGGGTCATTTTGTGTTCATGGGGCATCACCCTTACAGCATCAGGACAATATCATATGGAGTCAGACACTGGAAGTGTGCTGGAGGCTGATGCGTTGACTGCAGGGGACTGATGGAAGGATGAGGCTGATGAGACTGAAGAATCTGCGAGGAACGAACTAGCGGCAGAGAAATAATTATATATTAAAAGACAGCAACATCATAAGAGGCCAACCAGAGTCACAGAGTTTGTCACTTTGCTGAAGGATATGTGTGACCAGCTATCCAGGCCAGTCTCTAAAGACTTTCCAAGGTGTAAAAATGCTGCTGCCGGAGTACTGACTCGAAGTATTGCTGATAATATGTCCACCATATCTTCTTAAAGTACTCTGTCCAATAATATCAGTCTCAGGAAGAAAGGTTTTTTAATGCTTATTAAAAATAGCAGAAAAACATGCATTCTTGTACTCAGGAGGGGACATTGACAGAGGATTACTGGAAAAGTACATAGCCTATAGTAAAAGTACTTCATAGTACTTGTGGGTGTAGTTTCACTAGTACTGAGTCCAACAGTGTCAATCTCACGAAGAACTAATGGCAAAAATCATTTTTTCCCTCATCAAACTTAACAGAAGTGGCTTGATTTTGTTCTCAGGAGGGGACATTGACAGAGGATTTTTTTTTTAAAGAACACACTAGAAGTACTTCATTGTATTGTGGTATTAGGTGTAAGACTACTGAGTCCAGCAGTGTCAATATCATTAAGAACTAATGGTAAAATTGTCTTTTTATCATTCATCAAAGATAGCAGAAAACATGCATTATGTATGGAGGGGACTCTGGCAGAGGATTACTCACAAAGTACACAGAACATTTTATTTCTGGTAGCAGTCAAACTAGTACCGAGTCCAACAGTGTCAGTTTTATTAAGAACTTATGATAACAAATATTTGTATCGATCATCAAATATAGCAGGACAAAAAATGAAGAGCAGCTGAATTGAAAAAACAAACACGAGAGGCGGCTGAGTGACCGCAGTGCAGAATTGCTGTATAGTTTAAATCTCCTAACAATGTTGTCCATTTTAGACATAGGCTTATTATATTCACAGCCCTTAATAACATTAATTTTCTGGGCTCAATATGTGTCTTGGCCGTTTTCGTTGTGATCGCTAAATTCACCTCGTTTCCCCTTCTTTATAATATTATCACCGTTCCAAGCACATGAGTGCTTTTGTTTTGAAATCACTTCCGTGAGTTTCGCCCCGCCCCTCGCTCCAATGACAATTAGACCATTTAGTAAGGTAAAAAGCAAAAAGCAAAAACGTCTCTCAGACGCTCTTCCGTTTACTTGTTTAATAAAGAAAAACAATTGGACGGTAGATACACGGATTTACTATGACACGTACTACATCTTATTTTGGAGTGCCTATAATGCTTTACAAATAGATATGTGACCAAATCTATTCAGGTCTTAAATGGAAAGATGTATTTACTTCCGAATCCGAATAAACTCATTTTTTATTACAGGAATTATACGGAAAGTATTAGGGCCACATGAGAAACACATTTTGGAATGTGGGACTTTAGTCACAGAATTCTGATATTAAAGTCAGAACTCATTAATAGGCCCATGAATAGGCCTATTTATAATACATATAGCCTACTTAGTATCCATCAAGCTTGAAAACACAACGTTTCATTATTAGATTTGAATTACAAAATAACTCAAATGAACTTAAATGAAAGCAAATGTAGCCTATAGGCCTACCAATTATAGCATACACGGTAACGTAGGCTATAGGCCTACATCTAAAAAGTGGTTTGTAAAAATACACACTTGACAGGTTTAGCTGGAGATCCACAGGGTCAATCAGAGGACCCGTTCCTTTATGTTCAGGAGCCTGCTCCAGGTAATCTGATCCCAGGCAGGGGCGGATCTACCGGGGTGGCATGGGGTGGCAACGGCCACCCTAAAAAATAGCCTTGCCACCCCAGCTGCCACCCCAGTTGGCATCTTTGTTTTGAAAGAAAAGTTGTGGCTCATCGGACATTTATGAGAGAAAATCTCTAATGTCCGAGTGCAAGTGAATGCAGCACAAGACGCGAGTCTTGTAACCCCTCCCCCGGCCCTGGCGCGAGCTTGGAAATATGATTGGCGGCGATTTCATTTGAACGGGACGGCGCAAAACGAGAAGCATTCGGACCATAGATTCTGACCCAAGTAGACGGAAGGAATTAGGTATTTGCGGTCTACAATGACAGAGAAGAGACTGTCAAGTTTGGCTGTACTCAGCATTGAAACGATACGCACTAAAGCTTTGGATCTTAATACGTTTGTGAGGCGTTTTGCTGAACAAGATGGTAATCGCCGCATTCAGCTGTAATAGGCATGCAGAGGCGCGGGAAGGTATTTTGAGTGGGGGTGGACTCCGCTGTATAGAGTGGCGAAGTCACGCCCATCTACTTCCGGTCCATGGGACCTTATTTCGGAAAAATAATGTATTGAAGTCAATGGAGAGAGAAAACTTATCTTTCAATCCCGTTTGAATTGTGCCATGAATTACACATATGATGTTTGTCAATCTTAAAAAATCATTTCCATGTCAAAAAAGTCACAGTTTGTCGTAAAACTGTTGAAATATAAGACTATGAAAAATACGCAACTAGAAAGACTACAAATCCCAGAGTCGCGTAAGTGATGTCACAATTGTTTTCCTCCACTAAGAGATAGCTAAGATCAGCGCCATATAGATATAATCTATCTATATGGCGCTGGCTAAGATAAGATAACTAACAAGATGCCTGTGTGCTTAGTACCAGGTTGTTATTATACCAGCAATGGGTCTTGCTCGTTCTTTCGCTTCCCGTCTGATGAAAGGACCTGGAGTGTCTGGATCAAGCTAGCTAGTAGCTAGCACGTTAGTTAGTATTACAGCCTTGTCATTTTTATTAGCCTTAACATTAAGTAACATTAAGTAACCCAAAATGTTAAACTGTAAGAGTAGTAGTCATATTTCGTGAACCCTTTGAATAGTACTGTCACCGGTGTGATCATTCTATAATACACAATTTAAGCCCGGGGGAGAAATGCTAACGCTAACGTTAGCATCGGCGATCTTCTCTACTTCATGCTATCTGCACAAATGGTTGACATTAAACATTAAAACGACCAGGCAGTTCAGAGAGAATCAAAGGAAGGCAGGCAGGCAGCTTTGCATGACATTCTTCAGGACGTGTTTCATTGTGGTGATAGTGAGGGTAGTCAATCGTTTTGTTGACAAGACTGACGGCCATCTTGGTGACGTGTGTTGTTGACCAGAGATGTAGTTCATTAAGCGTTTCACACAAACAAATGTGTTACTTCACAGTTTTAGGACACATTTTATTTTTTTTGACTTGCAAAATTATCTTTTAAATTGACAAACATCATATGTGTAATTCGTGGCACAATTCAAACGGGATCGAAAGATAATCGTTCTCTCTCCATTGACTTCAATACATAATTTTTCCGAAATAAGGTCCCATGGAGGTCCACCGGAAGGGGAGGGACTTCGCCACTCTATATTTGACAAGCAATGTGAAAATAAAATAGATTAAAACAATAAAAAAAGTCATTCAAAAATACAATGAAATGGAAAATAAAGATGATAAAGTTATAAAGTACATAATAACCAGACCGCAATGATGTATTTTATTTAAAATCAGATTACGTTCAGACCCTCACAGACCCTCTGTCAGAAAGCAGCACGGCCAAAACACTTCATTTAGTCTCAGATCACTTGCTGTCTCCTCTGGGTTCTGGTTCTGGTTCTGGGGTGTAGAACTGGAACGTGACGCAAACAGGGACCCCGGTGAGGGCGGTGCTTAGAGGCACCTTTAGGGTGGGGGCTGCTGTGGAGAAAGGGTGAGGAAACTTTGGAGGGGGGAGGGGGAGGCGTCCACATGTGGAAGGACGTTCAGGAGGTCAGCAGCGCTCGGAGAAACGTCCACAAACAGAGTTTGCTGGGTCTTCAGGGAGGAGAGGGAGGGGGTCTGTGGAGGTCTGAGGGTCCTCTGAGAGGAGAGGAGGGAAGGAGATGAGGAGGGGAGGAGGTGAGGAAGGGAGTGAGGAAGGAGGTTCAGTCTCCTGGATCACGTTAGGTAGGGGTGTCTCTGTGATGGGGTCCTGTGGGGGGGGATCCTGGGACGGGGACACAGCGGGGGACGTCTCCTCGGAGGAACTCACCTCCATGGACTCTAAGGAATCTGAGGTTTCTTCTTTCTCCATTGAGACACATCTGTTGGAGGGTAAAAAGAAAAGATTTAAAAGAAGGTTTCAACCACAAATCATCATTTGGGTGTCAATTAAAGAGGACGTGTATAGTTTTCAGGTTCATATTTAGTGTGAATGCACAGAATAAGGATTTCTCTCTATATAAAAGCCCCCCCCCCCACACACACACACAATACTACTACTATACTTCAACAACTACTACTACTAGTACTACTAGTACTTACAGTACAAAACGACTTACTGTACATCCAACTATTAAATCAATCAGCTATCTCAGGACATTGAGGCTATACATTTACAGTGGAGGAAACAAGTGTTTAACCCCCTTCAGATTTTGTAAGTTTACCAACTTATTTTACAACTAAAAGCTCTTTTCAAATGAAGAGCAGGTTGTAACCGAGGCTCTGTGTCGGTCAGAGTCTGAGCGCTGCTCTTCCTCCTGGAATGAGTCAGAGTTTGATAAGCCCTCCCTCTTCTTCCTGCTCTCAGACACAGCCAGCTCCACTCTGTGTTTCCTGGTTCCTCCCCTTCAGATCCACACTGAGGAGGAGGGGTGTAACCAACATGTGGGTAAAGAACAAGAGCTGATAGGCCACATTCACCGCTCACACACATATTGTTCAGATCACAGCTCACATAGTTTCAGGTTTCAGGAAGTGAAACTCAGAGCTGCTACTGAGAGGTGAAATGGCGCAGAAAGGAGTTCAGCTGGAGCGGGGAATCTTAATATCTTGTTCGATCTGTCTGGATCTACTGAAGGATCCGGTGACCACTTCCTGTGGACACAGCTACTGCATGAAGTGTATTAAAGGCTTCTGGGACGGAGAGGATGAGAAGAAGATCCACAGCTGCCCTCAGTGTAGGAAGAGCTTCACACCGAGGCCTGTCCTGCTGAAAAACACCATGTTAGCAGCTTTAGTGGAGGAGCTGAAGAAGAATGGAGCCCCACCTGCTCCTGCTGATCTCTGCTCTGCTGGAGCTGAATATGCGGCCTGTGATGTCTGCACTGGGAGGAAACTGAGAGCCTGTAAGTCCTGCCTCGTGTGTCTTATATCTTACTGTGACAAACACCTCCAGCCTCATTATGAATTGCCTGCCTTTAAAAAACACAAGCTGGTGGAGCCCTCCAAGAAGCTCCAGGAGAACATCTGCTCTCGTCACGACGAGGTGATGAAGCTGTTCTGCCGCACTGATCAGCAGTGTATCTGTTCTCTCTGCTCTGTGGACGAACACAAAGGCCACGACACAGTGTCAGCTGCAGCAGAGAGGACTGAGAGGCAGAGAGAGCTGGAGAGGAGTCGACTAAACATCCAGCAGAGAATCCAGGACGGAGAGAAGGAGGTGAAGCTGCTTCAGCAGGAGGTGGAGGCCGTCAATGGCTCTGCTGATAAAGCAGTGGAGGACAGTGAGAAGATGTTCACTGAGCTGATCCGTCTCATGGAGGAAGGAAGCTCTGACGTGAAGCAGCAGGTCAGATCCCAGCAGAAGAGCGAAGTGAGTCGAGTCAGAGAGCTTCAGGAGAAGCTGGAGCAGGAGATCTCTGAGCTGAAGAGGAGAGACGCTGAGCTGAAGCTGCTGTCTCACACAGAGGATCACAACCAGTTTCTGCACAGCTACCCCTCACTGTCAGCCCTCAGTGAACCTACACACTCATCCAGCATCAACATCCGTCCTCTGAGCTACTTTGAGGACGTGACGGCGGCCCTGTCAGCAGTCAGAGACAAACTACAGGACGTCCTGAGAGAGGAATGGACAAACGTCTCACCGACTGAAGTAGAGGTTTTACTGTCAGCAGCAGAGCCCACCACCAGAGCTGGGTTCTTCAAATATTCACAGGGAATCACACTGGATCCAAACACAGCATGCACACTGCTGTTATTATCTGAGGGGAGCAGAAAAGCAACACTCATGGAACAACCACAGTCTTATTCTAGTCATCCAGACAGATTCACTGATTATCCTCAGGTCCTGAGTAGAGAGAGTCTGACTGGACGTTGTTACTGGGAGGTAGAGTGGAGAGGGAGAGGGAGAGGAGTTTTTGTAGCAGTCGCATACAAGAATATCATCAGAGCAGGGGGAAGTGTATTTGGATTCAATGACAAATCTTGGTCCTTAGTTTGTAACCAAAACAGTTATATATTTCGTTACAACAATATCCCCACTCCCGTCTCAGGTCCTCCGTCCTCCAGAGTAGGAGTGTACCTGGATCACAGAGCAGGTATGCTGTCCTTCTACAGCGTCTCTGAAACCATGACTCTCCTCCACAGAGTCCAGACCACATTCACTCAGCCGCTACATGCTGGACTTTGTCTTCATTATGATTATGGAAACACTGCTGAGTTTTGTAAACTCAAATAGCCTGAAGTCATTGGAGGAACTCTTCTACTTCTTAAACTCACCGTGTGTCCATCAGGGCTGATTGTTCATGTCTTCACTGTGCAGAGATCAGCTGTCAATCAAACATGATGGGATGTGCTTCAACATCTTCTCATGAGTTGTTCTGTAGATGTTGGACTTTCTTCCGGCTCCTTCCTGTGTCTGTGTAGCCATGGAGGCTGTCACTGCTCAGGAGGATCCTTGTTCACCTGAACTGATATGTAAACTTTGCTCTAAATATGTGTTGGATATTTCTTTTGATTCATGTTGTTGTTTCTCTTGTAATGCACGAGTCTTCAGAGAGAAAGCAGCTTCTTTTATTGTACACATTTTATTCTGGCATTCACTTTCTAAAACAATAGAGACATTTATAATCACATGTATTATTCTGACAGATTAAATGTTATTGTTGCCCAAATTAACTAACAAATGAGTTCCCAGATGGTTATAACACTTATTTCATCATAACATGTTTATTTAAAATGATATTACTTCCTGTCATGATCATAATCAATAAGTACATCATGTATTATTCTCCTGTAAATAGCTTAGAGTCTTTGCTTGGGAATTAAAATGTATAATATTACAGTTATTGTTTTGCAGACTAATTGTTGTTGTTGTTGTTGTTGTTGTTGTCATCCAAATAGAAAGTGGGTACTCTGATGTTTTATAGAACATTAATTATCATGATAATAATCAATAAGGAACTCATGTATGATTCTGTTTGAATAGCTGAGATTAAACACATGTTGGATAAAGTGAAACTGATCATGAAATCATTGAACAGACTTTACTGATGGGATGTGCGATCAAATTAAATGTTTGAATCATTAATAAAGGTTTGTCTTTCAAAAACAAAAACAGGATGTTCTTCTTGTGTTATGTCCAAGGTGCCATACGGAGCTGATGGAGAACATGTGGAAGTGATCTGAGACTAAATGAAGCTCAGCGCAAGTTCAACAAAGGAAGACCGTCTTTACTCATTCATTTACTATTTCCATGTTACTACTCTCTCTCCTCTCAATAAGTGATCGGGGGCGTCACTCCCCAGCTTAACCAATCACTTCGCTCTATTCTCACAAGCCTATCATAGCGCTCCGCTAACCCTTTTAAATCTGCTCTCCCCTCTGACAGCTGTCATTTCAGGTGACTCGACGCAACCCTCCTCCACCCCTTTTCACCTCCTGTCCCTCTGAATCCAGGGTCAAGCTAAGCCCCTCCCCTTCAGACCGAACCCAACTATCCCTTCACCACCACCAGTGTCTAGACCCCGGGGGGTTTCATCGGATCGGTTTTTCCCCTCCCGAATGATACTCCTGAACAACGGGGCCTAATCGCCAAAACTCCATTACATTCGTTTGTGTATCTCTGCAATAAATATGTATTCTTACTAGGGCTGTCAGTCGATTAAAATATTTAATCGCGATTAATCGCATGATTGTCCATAGTTAATCGCGATTAATCGCAAATTAATCGCACATTTTGTATCTGTTCTAAATGTACCTTAGAGGGATATTTTTCAAGTTTTTAATACTCTTATCAACATATGAGTGGACAAATATGCTTTATATGTTTGTTTATTATCATTTGAACAATGACAAATATTCTCATGAATATTAAACACAACAACCTGAACATTACAAATATTCGCCTCAATTCAACCTGGAACCTCTCTCATACAATAATACAATACAAAGTGTGTGTGTGTGTGTGTGTGTGTGTGTGTGTGTGTGTGTGTGTGTGTGTGTGTGTGTGTGTGTGTGTGTGTGTGTGTGTGTGTGTGTGTGTGTGTGTGTGTGTGTGTGTGTGTGTGTGTGTGTGTGTGTGTGTGTGTAGACACTGTGATGGATCGTTGGAGCTATGTGCAGCTCAAGGCATATATGCTCGAACGGGAGCTGCCTGGACGCTGCAATCATGTTGCGCGCACTATCCGTGCTGAGTGTGCTGACTTTTCGTACAATGTCCCACTGTCTGGCTACCTGCATAAAGTCAAGTGCTCGGCGCAGTTGTCGGCGAAATGTCGCTCCTCTGTTTTCATTGAAACAGCTCCTTATATCCGTTAGCGCAGCTAGCTAGCACCAGATGCTAACAACAACAACACGTAAGGTGTGCCTCGCTCACGCCACACATACACACGCTCCCGGTCCTCCCGATGGCCAGTCCGGGCCTGCCGGTGAGCGTGGAAGTGTGGTCTGCCACAAGCGGGCGGCAGGAGCGGGGCTGTCAGCATCAGCTTGTAGATGGTATTTTAAACTCGATGCGCTCTGAAACTACGGGGCGGCCGAGGACAAAAAATACACATGCGTTAATCGCGTTAAAATAATTAGTGGCGTTAATTCTTTTTTGCCTTAACGCGTTATTAACGCGTTAACTTGACAGCCCTAATTCTTACATCAAAACCGTCTCTCCTGATTGAATAACTTAATTTCTTCCTGAAACAAAGTACAGTGTTCATCATCACTCAGTCTGTCCCCTCATGCTAGTGGAGCCGCGCAGCGGCGAAACCGTGTCGCGCCACACTAAATGCGCCGCTTAAGCGCGCCGCAATTTCGGCTCAGTTGAGGCCCCCTCCGCAAGATGAGGCCCCACGCAGTCTGCATGATCGGCCTGTAGGGAGAGACGGCCCTGCTTATTAGCTGGCCCTAACGTGTGAAGTTATACAAGCATTTTGTACCAGTGCTTTTCACAAGACTCTTGCAGGCCAGAGTAGCTGGAGTGATTCAACAACAACAAAAAGACATATCTGAGAAGAAGAAGAAGAAGAAGAAGATTCAATTTATTGTCATTACATAGTACAGGTACTATGTGTGGATGCTGTGTTCAAAGCTAAAATGTGAATGCAAAAGTCTTAAAGATACTGTTACAGCAGAATTGCACTAGTTCCAGATAACTGTTATGTTAAATGCAGTATAACAGCCAAATGTTTAAAGCTATTAAAAAAAAAGGGCAATGTGATATTCATGTGAATGTATTGTGCTCTCAGTATAACTGCGCCCCCTGCTGTCTACACAGCATATATAGATACACTAGCAGTGATGAAGTGCACAGTAAGCATGTATAACGTGTGTTAGCCAGCACTGGTTAATAAACCCTGTTAACGTCCAGCAAGTTGAGTCTTTCATGTCCAATCATAACATGGAAACATTACAAGTGATCAGGACGAACAGAAAGAGGAAAAGGAAAAGAGAGATGAAGAGACCAGGAGGGTCAGAGCAGGAGGAAGAGGAGGAGATGAAGACATTAGTGAAGAAGGAGAAATGTATGTGAGGAATAAAGAGGAAGTGTCAGAAAGAGGGACAGAGGCAGTGATCAGGAGGCAGATGAGACTCCAGCTGGACCACATGGTATGTTTTTATTCTCCTTGCACATATTCCATCACAGCAGCACAATCTAGCGGCTCTTAGTATTGACACATATTGAAATGTGTTGCTGCACAGGTCACCTTTAGCTCTCTTAAGAGATGGGTGATGTCATTTGTGTACTTCATTATAACTAAGTACTTTTACTGTACTTACAGTAAACAGAGTTCTAGGGTATCATGAGTATTTTCTGCTGTTTTATACTATATGTGAGTTTGTTTGTCTGAACACCTTGTTTCTCTTGTGCATTAAGAACACTTGTGTTAGGCCATGATTTAACAATAAATAGGTTATATATACAGTATAAAATACCACGTACTGTCCGCCCTCCCATGCCACCCTGGCATGACCTCTTGCCCCCCCTTTGCCACCCCATGTAAAATGTTCTAGAACTATGGGCTCAGAACAGTCTCATAATACACACATGCACACAGAAGGATTCACACTTGTATTTCATGATCCACAAAAGGATTCACACTTGTATTTCCGGATCCACACTTGTGTTTTTCAATGCACACACAAATGTGTTCCGTTTCATATACATGTAAATAAAATCCAAATACAGAAAAAAGTTTTACATATGTATTTTTGATCCTCACATATTTGTTTTCCGTTTAAATCCCCTGAACCTGCAAACACAAACCGCTTTCTGTGCATGGATTGCTCTGCATTCGTGTGTGGGTTTTTTGAGACTCCCCTGACGGTCACCCGATTCGTACTTGTAATTTTTTCTATCTATAGCCAATCAGATGTCTCCTCAATTCTAAGCCAATCACATGAGCGCGCCCCCACGAGGGTAGATTTCTTGCGTTCATGTCACTTCATATACGCATTTTGCGTAGTCCGGAGCAGGGTTTCCGCGGACAGAATTTAATTTTACCGGACAAATTTGAAACTTACCGGTCATGTTTCAATAATAATAATAATAAGAATTGTGTAGCAGCGTTTCCGTTAGGTAATTACCGGACTATGACCGGATAATAACACGGGAGTAAGGATCATCTCTTTTCCTCTCTCCCTCCCTCTCTCCTGACAGCCCGTCAGTTTCTCATGCAGCTCGCTAAAACTTCACTCGCGTTTATGTCCATATCGATCAGATCCAGCTCTCCTGATCGGCCTTTATAGAGAGCACCGATCAAACTATTAAGAGTGAATATCGGCCGATAATGACCGGCGGGGCTCCCCCCGTTGACAGTTCACTGTCTAGCACTGGCTTCGTAGTGCACTGATCGATTAGGCTAAGCTAACCTGTAGCTGCTCCCTCCACACTCACAACAACTTCATACAGACATAAATAAAGCAGCTGATCGCCATACAGGAAACACACATTTAAAACAGTTTTGCCTGCCGTTTTTGTGTACACAAGCATTCATTAATGGTTCGGAAAGTGGCACTGTACCTTAATAATATAAAGGCTTGTATTTGCGTGCATTTCCTGATCGGAAAGTGGTAATGTACTGAGAGTGGAGGTGTCCTGAGATTAGCGCCTGCAGGCAGGCTCCATGGACCTGTCAGCTCCGGACAGCGCAAAATGCGTACATGAAGCGCTACGTCATGAACGCAAGAAATCTACCCTTGTGGGGGCGCGCTCATGTGATTGGCTTAGAATTGAGGAGAAATCTGATTGGCTATAGATAGAAAAAATTACAAGTACGAATCGGGTCACCGTCAGGGGAGTCTCAAAAAACCCACACACGAATGCAGAGCGATCCATGCACAGAAAGCGGTTTGTGTTTGCAGGTGCAGAGGTTTTAAACGGAAAACAAATATGTGAGGATCAAAAATACATATGTAAAACTTTTTTCTGTATTTGGATTTTATTTACATGTATATGAAACGGAACACATTTGTGTGTGCATTGAAAAACACAAGTGTGGATCCGGAAATACAAGTGTGAATCCTTTTGTGGATCATGAAATACAAGTGTGAATCCTTCTGTGTGCATGTGTGTATTATGAGACTGTTCTGAGCCCATATAGAACCGCCACTGATCCCAGGTACAGGAGTGAGACAGACACACCCAGTTTCCCCCCGCCCCGTCAGAGCGGCAGCCTCACTGGAGCTGTGTTTCGGATCAAGTGTGTGAAGAAACCAGCAGCTTGTCCTTATCGTTTAGAGTCGGAGTCTTTGGTTTTCACTCACGGAAACTCGTTGTTTCTCACAGTCAGTAGCTGATCTGTGCGCAAACGTAACAACCCGCTTGGATACCTGTCGCCATGGGAGGAAGACGCAGAGGCGCACATGACGAAAACTACTCCTTTGTCAGTCCAGTCGTCAAGTACCTACTGTTCTTGTTCAATTTAATATTCTGGGTGAGTTTATTATGCTATTAAACACAGGGGGTCACACAGATCCCAACATGAAAGCTGTATTTATTCTCTCCTCAGCGCCCAGGTGAATCACGGTCTTTCTTGGCACAACATATTTGCTCCATTAGGTTAACTATTAAAAAGGAGTTTTAACCAGAGTTAAACTACCTCTCTCGCGATTTCAAAGTGTCAGACCTGCACTTCTTTATTTATTTGAACACAAGGGTGAAGGGTTTTGTTTGCTGCGATTTGAGCATCCACTGCTTAGTTAGTTGTTCATTAACCCTGGGGTTTAGGAAAAGTGAAACAGTGTCCAGAAAAGAGGGGAAAGGAAGTCAACATGCAAAGCTGAAACAGGAACACAGGAATACACACACACACACACTGTGTTTTCTGCTTGGTACTGTGTATAATAAGGAATGTATCATTAGATTTGTGTAACCACACTGTGATATCTCAAAAAAAATGTTCACACCACTTGAAGTCAGTTCACACGTCTGCTGTGGTTTATGATCAGGTTAGTTTATGTTCATAAAATAGGTTAACTTCCTGTCTAGCAGGTTTCCCAATAAGATGTATTTTTCCATTTCAAACCAGCCTCAGTGAACACAGCAGGCGATGACATTGATTGCATAATTTGCTATCATTTAAACTGTCTTATTATGCTAACGTGTTTCCCTCAATAGGATGTTATTCATTGTATGACTGGGTCTTTTTTAAAGGAAATAATTCAGCAGAGCTCAGCAGGCTGTCAACAAACCAAAGTTCATTTGGGGGGGTTTCAGTGTCAGGTGCTCGGGGGCTGTAACATAAGGAGATTTCTGACTTACAGCATTTTTTAAGCAGATCTGATGTTGCAGATTTAACTTGTTGGGGTTTAGTGCAGTCCGTTTCTGCTGTTTAAGCAAAACAATGCTGTAGGAATGATGAGAAATGTCGTTGAATTTAAACATATTTACCTCTTTTGACAACAAGCTCAAACAAGACAGTTTAAGTTTTGTTTACATGTTAATATCTGAGAAATCTTGAGCTTTTCTATACATGTTCTTCTACAATTCCAACAGCGTCTATACCTAAGTGTGTATGAGCTGTGTTCATGACTTCTCTGGCCATGTACAAACAGGAAAAGGCTTTGTAAAAACTTGAAGCTCTTCATCATGGAATGTGTTGTTGTCATTTCTGTTGCCTCGGGCCGCAATAGGCTCAGTGTAGGACACACCAAAGAAAAGTGCATGGCTCCATTTACTGTAGAAATGTCGTGGAAAGTCCACAGTTTGTCATAATCCTGGTGATCAGCTGGTACAATGACGATTAACCCAATAAGGGAATCAGTTGTGTAACCAACGCAAGTGTGGGATTTAGTCGCCTATAAATTGTAGCATAACATTTCACTAACTGTCACATTGCAAAAAACAACATCTAGCTTCAGGCCTCATGTACTAATCTTTACAAAAGGGGCAGAAAACTCTCTTTGCCCTCCCACCCCAAGAAGGAGCAGTGTTTGTTGTACCTGGATCCATTTCACTCAGGGGGGGGGTGTTTCTGAGGGCTCTCTTTTATTCTATTGAGACTGAGAGGAGCGCTGAGTGAAAGCCTCTTTATTTTGTAGGGAAAGGTGCAGATCGCTGCCAGGTCGGTTTAGTCAAATGGAAGCAGAGTGGACGGCCGAACAGCCTCATCTACATTTCTCCTCTCCTCTAGTTCAACACTGATTCAACATGGAGCACTGGGTGTGCTTCTGGAGAGTTAGATGTTATTCTATCAGTACAGCCTCTGACTCATGTATATCTGATGTGTGTTCAGGTGCCACTCCCTGGACAAGTAACAACATAGACAGGATTATTTACACACTGATCTGTGTGCTTTCACCCTATTGTACCCCATAGCATTATTTCAATATGTGTATAAATACATCTTTGTTCTCTCTTCTCCTCAGGTCATCTCCCTGGTGATGGTAGCTATCGGCGTGTACGCCCGCATGATGAAACATGCAGGTAGGGGATTCTTCAGTGATAGAGCATACAGTCTGTTTCATGTGTAGTGGGTTAGGATGGGGCTTTTGTTTTGGCTTTGTGCTCACTGCTTCCACCAGCAACACAGCATTTACATATGTTTTGTTGAAGATTTTATCAAATAAATTCAATTCAGCAGTGGAAGAGCCAGAGGTAGACGTGTTAAAGCACTTCCATAAATGTTTCCTGTTCTGATTAAATAAAGGTCATTAAGAAAAAGTAGCTCCCTCACATCAATCTGAGCCCCTCTCTTCTCCTCCTCAGAGGCCGCTCTGCGGTGTCTGTCGGTGGACCCCGCTGTAATGCTGCTGGTGGTGGGGGTCCTCATGTTCATCCTCACCTTCTGTGGCTGTGTGGGCTCGCTGCGAGAAAACATCTGCCTCCTGCAGACGGTGAGTCAGGAGTTTCTCCGCTAAAGATGAAATCAGTGCAGAGACATGCTGTCAGATTCAAGCTCAGTCCCACGAGCTGCCAGGTCCTCTCAACAGTATTGTATACTGGCACATAACAGGGTGTGTGCCTTGCATGTACAGTATTTGCACTTTTCTAAAGAAAATGACTCATTGCAACAGTTGAGATTATTTTATTTTGAAATCAATTTGAAAACAGCCTTTAGGTAGCAGAGTTTGACAATGTTTTTCTATTGTTATTCTCTTTGTATTTAGATTGTTGCTTTCTCTGCATGCAAGTAGAGGTGGCAACAACTAGCAGCTGAATTACAGGATCTCATGGAATCGGTTCTCTAAATAATGAACCAGACAGACAGAATCATTCCTCCAGTCCTGTGACCCTCCCTCTCTTGTTTCCCCCCCACAGTTCTGCATCTGTCTGACGGTGATCTTCCTGCTGCAGCTGGTTGCCGGGGTCCTGGGCTTCGTCTTCTCCGATAAGGTAATGAAACAAACCTGAGAATAATGTAAGCTTGAATGTAGGGCCACAACTGTTTAACACTGTCAACAAAATACCATTCTTGTTTCTCTCTAACTCACGCGAGAACAGCACAATGTGACGTGAGTTTGGATTTCAAAATGAAAGACTATTAATCTTACACACAAGAAGTATTGCAACAAGAAATTATTTTTAGCCTTAGAAAAATACAAATGACAAATGATAAACCTGTAAAAGGCTACACTTACAGAGATCGATTGTTTTATTGAACAAACTGTAAACATTGTCAAACCCATCATGAACAGTGAATGTTCATTTCTGTAATCAACATTCTTTATAGCTATTCTTTAACTAAATACAACACACGTTTTAGATACATTATAGAATAAATATTCATAAAATAAATGTCAAATATAGTAATGTGTAAGCAAAACTTCAGAATAATACTGGCCTGCCTCGAAAAAGGGTCTTCATTTCTTTATTGACTATTTCTTTGGGTTGAGTTTGTTTTATTTTTTGTATTGAATGTCCTTTTAAGAAGAAGAAGAAGAAGATATACTTTATTAATCCCTTACAGGGAAATGTCTTTCCCCACTCTGTGGGAAAGACTGTTGGAGAGAAACTCCCTCTGGGAACACAGTAATGATAGCCTTTGCAGACCCTTTACATGCACAACAACCTATAGAACACACTACAGGAAAGGGAAGCCCCCAACATGCGTAATAGGGCCTCTTTAAACAAGAAGATTGGATTACTTGTCATAGAGTACTCAGCCGGTGAAGGCAGTTGTACAATGTCTCTAGAGGGACTCCAAATAACCTCTGTTAGGGTGATCACAGATTGGGCTTGAGACTGCAACAGAGAGCCTGGGACAAAGAGTTTGGAGAACAACTTGAATCTTGCCATAAACACTCAAAAACACAAACATTCTAACATTTCCCATGCGGTTAGTTCTAGGCAGGGTTGCATGAAGTTGTAACTTTAAATATTTTAGAGGACTAGCATCTCTATATTTCAATAGAAATATTAATATAAAATAGAAGGTGGACTAAAATCCAATAAAAAAGAGGTGCGCTCTACTATGGCATTGCACTGCATTGATTTTGACTCACTGGGTCACATGACATACAACTTGAGATCTTTCAATAGAAAATGCTGAATCTTTATAACAATATTTGTATTAAATAGATTTTCTTTTTTTGTACTCCTGCTAAGGCTCGGAATAGCGTGACTGTGATGATCAACAAAGCCATTGTCCACTACAGAGAGGACATCGACCTGCAGAACTTCATAGACTTTGGTCAGAAAGAGGTAAGGGTGCAGTTCAAACATGCCGGAAACGCGTAGGTCATCAGTGTTTTGTCATTGTAAATACCAACAGCAAATATACAAAAATCAGGATGTCTCCTGCATATGATGTGTGTATGTGTCCTCAGTTTGGCTGCTGTGGGGGTGTGACGTACAGCGACTGGTCCCAGAACATCTACTTCAGATGCGAGCCGGACAACCCCAGCAGAGAGCGCTGCTCCGTGCCCTTCTCCTGCTGCGTCCTCAACAAGGACGAGGTCATCTGAACACCACTCTGCTGAGCCCTTTATCTGTTGCTTTGTGTTTATTATTATTCACGTAATAACTGTGTGTGTACTCGAGCAGAACGTGATCAACACCATGTGTGGCCAAGGCATGCAAGAGATGGAGTACACTGAGGCTGGAAACCATATCCACGTCAACGGCTGCATCGACAAACTGGTGGACTGGATCCACAGCAACCTGTTCCTCCTGGGGGGGGTCGCCCTGGGACTGGCCATACCACAGGTAGCACGCACGCACGCACGCACGCACGCACGCACGCACGCACGCACGCACGCACGCACGCACGCACGCACGCACGCACGCACGCACACACACACACGCACACACACACACACACACACACACACACACACACACACACACACACACACACACACACACACACACACACACACACACACACACACACACACCAGCGGCGGCTGGCACAGCCCCACCTAGTGTCAGCAGAAAGTATTACAAATAATGATTACAAAAAAATAAATACAAATATATATAAAATATATTTTAAGATCATGTTTAATCATCTGATTCGTCTGTACATTGCTGTTTTAGTCTGTGTTCTTCTAATTAGTGTCTACAGTGTGTGCCTATTGAGCTGTTGAGAGCCATGTGGGACAAAACCTGATCATGCCCCTCCCTCTCACTGTCTGAGTGAACGGTGACTGTAAAAACTACACTGCGCATGCTCAGAGTATTTTCCTATTTAATGTGTGTGGCAAAAAAACAATGACCATAGGGGCACTGAGCTGCCATCCCCACCATACGTCATCTCACATAATTCAGAGCTGATTGGCTGTAAGTACGTGTGCCACGAAAAGTGTAGTGTGTGAAGAGGAGACGAGAGAGGTGCAGTGATGCACGTTTTGTTCAGCCGGATAATATCCACATGTCTACCCTACTTTTATAATTTTCTAATCATAAATCTATCGATTAGATTTATGATAGACTTTTGAAACTACAAGAAGATAAGGAGGACTTTTACAAAAAAGTAATAGAGATTTTTGTCCAGAAGGATAGGCAAAGAGAGAGAACAATTCAATATTTAAATGATAAAATTACATTTTTTGGGTATCTTTTTGTTGAACTGTCTGTTTAAAATTAATCGAAGCATCAGACTAAAAAAGCTTTTGAAAATAATATTTGTAAACCTGAAGAGTCAGTGCCAGTGCCTCACCAGCCATGAACCTCACTGCACGTCACTGCAGAAGCTTATATATGTATAGACATCTAAGTTTTTTGTGCCCCACCACTTTTGTACATATAAAAACGCCACTGACACACACACACACACTCAAGTCTTAAATAGGAGAGACTAAATGTTGTGTGTTCTGTTCTTCAGCTGGTCGGCATCCTCCTGTCTCAGATTCTGATCAGCCAGATCAAAGATCAGATCGAGCTGCAGAACTACAACCTGAAGCACCGCTCCGACCCGTGGAGATGACCCAGACTGGATCAGTCCAGATTCTGGTGATTGGCACCAGAACCACAACTGCCTGAAAACCTTTTTTTTCGTGGCAGCCTGGATTATGCATCCAGCATCATTGCTTTAACTTAAAAACATTTGACTAATATTGAGCCAGCATGTGGACAAGCCATTACTATTGGCCAGGATGTGGAGCTTAGTACACACAGAGGAGACGAAAGGAGAAACTGGACTCTGCCGCCACCTGCTGGACACAAACCAAGCTGGAATTTAGCAAACTTTTTGATGGCACCAAACAGAGGCAGGGGGAGTATTTGGTGATCAGGGTCTTGTTGACAGGATCATTTTAAACCTGAGAACTGCACTCAGTATAATATTTCACTTTTTATCAGCGGGAGTTAATACATACCTGTCTTTGTTGTTGAATCCATTATGCTGTGAATGCTAACTGACTGAAAAGGGAATTACATTTTTCCACATATTGATTTTGTATATTTTTTCAAAATAAAAGAATGCCGGTCAGAATGTGTTATGCATGCTCCGTCATGATGCTTACAGCTGCTGGCATCTGTGGCATGCATCAGATATTTGGTCCAGGTTGTTTTAATGAATGTTGCTTTGTAGTTGAAATATCTGTGAAGAGTACAAAGCTTCGCCTACTTACAATACTTTCACAAGCTTATGTGTTAAAAAGCGTGTCTCAAAGTGCCTTTTACCCATGATACCAAAAGGTATACAGTATAATAGAACTTTTTTACTTAACATACAAAATATTTAATTTGGTCATTTAATGTAACAGTAATGTTTGCATCAAAGGTCTGACGCTTCATAATAAAGTGGCCATGTTAGGTTGTCCTGCAGAGACCCTACTCTTCACATGATTTCATTTCCTTCTCACGTTTAGCCAGCTGCAGGGCTGCAGAGCCACTGGCTTTCATCTCAATATGCTGCCATAATAAGAACATGTCTGCCAAATAACAGGCTTTTAACAAAGTTCATATTCTGTACATAAGGCATCATTTAAATCCTGTTCTGATCTATTGCTTTTTTAATAATTGTCAACGAAAATACAAAAGTAAAGGGGAATTCCCATTTCCCCACTAAAGAAAACAGTTGTAAATGCCTCCAGTGTTGTTGTGTTGGTGTGGTCACTAGAAAATGCCAAGTTTGTGTTTTCTGGCCAATCAGTGAGCAGAGCATGGTTGAGGTTCTCTTTGTGTCTGTGGAAATCATACACAGATGTTTATATCAGTTTTTATTCTCTTGTTACGATGTGATACCCATGTGATAGGTTCTTTACAAGTAAGAGCTGTCCTTTAACTGAAGACATTTCACTTCTTCCACCAGGGAAGCTCCAGCTAAAGGTTTAATGTATCTGTGAAGAAGCAACACACCCTCTCATCTCTGTCTCTGCCTGGCAAATGAAATCCTGAGTTGCGAGGCATTCCCAGCTTTGAAACCTGACGCCTATAATCTTTGGGAGCAGAAACAGTCCTGCATGTTTAACAGCCTTTGACGAAGTCCACAATCTAAACATGACATTTCTGTGTTAGTTTAAAGCTGCAGTAACTCTCCGTGCTGTGATTCACCCTGAGGCCCGAGACACACTCTGCTGTACCTCTGATGCTGCTGAGGAGTAAAACTACATTTCGTGTGACACTTTAGATATGAGTTTGTAACGTTACAGCAGTTTATGAATGTAGCAGTCTCTTACAATAATGTTTTGGTGTGGTTGTGTGTGTGGGGGGGTGTGAGAGAGAGAGAGTGTGTGTGTTGGCTCGGCCCGCACTCTGTGTGTGGTCCCTGGTTTCTGCCTCTGACTCACTCAGGCAGCCATGTTGCTGTGGGCTTCATGGAGGCCCAGACACACACACACACACACACACACACACACACACACACACACACACACACACATACACACATACACACACACACACACACACACACATACACGCACACACACACACACACACACACACACACACACACACACACACACACACACACACACACACACACACACACACACAGAGAGAGAGGAGGGAGCAGAGTTAACCCAGTTTTACTCACAGAACACCAGGAGAGAAACAAAGCATCTGCAGGCATGCAAATACCACAAGTGCACTGTCCAATTAATGCGCTAACTACAGAGCAGCACCATGCTGGAGATTAACGAGCTGCTTTTAGTCGTATAATAAAAAAATTGCATATTTAAGCATATGTACAAATTAACATACATTCATTAAAGCACCTGAAATTAATAATGTGAGCGAGTTTGAGCTTGAGTTTTATATGTTAATATTTGCCGTTTTGCTGTTTTTTAAGATTCCTTCAGCCCCCTTAACCAGGAGAGGAAGCCCAGTCCATCATGCATGTCCCAAAGGAAAGTGACTTAATGTCAGGTTATTAACCGTGTCTCTCACTCCTGTGCACACTACTGTCATACACATGGGACTATTCAAAACGTCATCTCAATCTATGTGTTATTCAATCAATCAAAGTTTATTTATATCGCCCAATATCACACATTTTACATTTGACTCAGGGGGCTTTACAGTTTATACAGTATACATTATTAACACATAGTTATTCATCAAGTCGAAGACATTTTGACTGTCATTATCTAAGAGCAGACAGCCACCAATTTAAATCTAATTTAATTTAGTATAATGCATACCAGGTATTTGACCATGAAGTCTCGTGTAATCCCTGACAGATGTGCAGCATCAGTACACATCAGAATCAGAATACATGTATTCATCCCACAGAGGGGACATTTGTTGAGTATCTGTTGTTGTTATTATTGTTTAATATGTGTCTAATAAATATGATGCCCATAATGTAATTATATATAATAATACCTTACTTCAAAGTATATGTAATACGTATTATATTATAACATAATAATGTAATACATTACAATACAATTATAATTATATAACTCCTTTATATGTATTTAATTCAAAGGTTGTGGAAAGCTTAATTGTGTCTGCACATGTTATACATTTACATATACATAATATTCTATAATGTTTACCACTGCTGTATTATACCCTTTGTATATGTATTCTAGAAGAGCTGAAGACCACCCTGGGGTCCTTAGGGTACATTTTAGAAACATTTTAGATTTACTCCCTGAGAGTTGGCACAAGTTGACCAGTTTTTCATCTATTTCAGAACAAACTGAGATGCAGATCGGATGGGGGCTCTGGGTTGTTTTGGGGGTCCTTGAGATGAGAAACGTTTTGAGAAGGCCTGCCATAAGGCACATTCTTCCTCTTGCGGAGGGGGATGGGAGGGGAAGTGTTGTTGCTCCGTCTCTCCCCCACCATGTGCATACCAGAGACTTTAACCTGCAGACACCGACCCGCAGCTCGGGAACACACACAGAGACCCTCCTCACACTGCATCAGGGGAAACACACACTCATTGGGACACGTAGAGAGATGTAGCTTCAATTATCATCCTATTTTTCTGCCATCTTAAAGAAGGGGGGCTCCGGAGAAGGGGGTGGTGCATCAGAGCCAGAGATCCTATTACACATCCAGACTTTTCATGGCAAGTTTTTTGGAAGTGGGGGAGGGCGATCCTGCAACTTTGTCGGCCTGATGTCTGTTTAATACCCATCCTAAAAGCTTCAAATGAATACTTTATATGGTTTTGAGGCGATGATGCGGTTGTTCTACAGCTGAGGGCACTTTCTGGAGCCGATCGGATCTGGATAATGAAGGAATCCCGGAGGATCCAGCGGGGATCGGCCGAGAACTGCAGGATACAAAAGTTTGGGAGGACTGGGAACAAACTTTGAAACGCCCTGCAGATCTCCTTCATAATGCCGAGTTTGGAAACGTATTCGAAATCTAAAGAAGACAAATTGATCTCCGGGTTTCTTTAGATAAAACTGAATCATTTAATCGGTTTTGCACGGCTCGTTCTCGGCCCCCAAGATGTCCTCCTGGGCTCGGAGCCCCATTGTTGGGTTTTGCGGGATGCTGTGCGTCTGGGCTGCCTGGCTCTCAGGCTGCGGGGCGGTGTTGTCTCCAAACGGGACCATATTTGAGGACCACTGCAAGAAAACCTCGACCTGTGAGGCTCTGAAATACAACACATGTCTGGGGTCGCCTCTGCCGTACACACACACTTCTCTGGTCCTGGCCGAGGACTCCAGCACCCAAGAAGAGGCTTTTGAGAAGCTGGCCATGTGGTCCGGTGAGATCCAGGGTTCATCTGTTCAATAAACACCAATATATACTCCATCTGATGTGAATACTTTAGAGTGTGGGAGAGGAGTGATCATCATCCTGTGATCCAATTAGAAAACTGTACTCTTGGATGTTAGTTGTACTATGATAGATTAAATGTCAAAAATATATTGGGTTATTATGAATAGCTATCTAACTTACTTGTTTTGAAAGTGATCAATACGATGTGTAACTTCACAAAAAATCCATTGTGAACTAACATAACCAGGTCAATTCTAAAAATCAAATGGCAATGAAAACCTGGCCCTCAGGCTTTTATTTTGGAGCAATTCATACATAAATATATCACTACATAGGAAAAGTCAGTGTTGTGTACCTGGTTTGTAAGTGCTAATAATGTTAATTGTTATGACAAAGGACTGTGATGAGGGGTCTCAGAGGGGAGAGAGCCCCAACAGGAAATGAAGGGGTAAAAGCCATTAAAGGCAACAAAAGGAATCACTCATAGGTGCTAGAGAGCTAACAATGGAAGAGTGTCACCAATAAAAGGGGGCTTCACATTCATAAGCTCTCTCTAATGACCTGTCAGACCCAGGCCCCCGCCTCTCAGGGTCAGGGGTCCCATCCACCCATACCTGATGTGGAGCCCTTTTTGTGTTGTTGGATATGGTTTATTATGGCTCCTGTGTAATGTAAACACAATAGCAGCATACTAATAGCACATATGGGAGGGATAAGAAGTCATAATTTTTTTTTTAAACCCCACAAAATTCCCCTTAACCCAGTCTCAATTAATCGATTCATTGGCTTAAGGACGATTATGAGTGATCCTGCTAATACAGATTTTCACACAAAATTGTCACTACATTTTAACATTTTAGCAGTTGGATCATAAGGTGTTAGTTGTCTAAAAGGTATGTTGATTTGGCTGATTAATCAAGTTAAACCATGTCTTATTACACAATAGATAGTTAGATTATGTGAATCAGGGTGATTCAATTATGATCAAACTGATATATTCTTGGCCCTGCCACATCTTTCTATTCATGTGTTTGTGCTTATCATCACCGTCATGAGTCTGATAAGTGTAGCAGATTATCGTACACATCTCATGATTTATTTCAATGTTTCAGGATGTTGTAAGACTGTTTTTCCATCCCACAGGTCTGCGTAACGCTCCTCGCTGCTGGGCGGTCATCCAGCCGCTGCTCTGTGCCGTCTACATGCCCAAATGTGAGAACGGTCGAGTGGAGCTGCCCAGTAAGAGCCTGTGTCTGGCCACACGCCGGCCCTGCAGCATCGTGGACCAGGAGAGGGGCTGGCCCAGCTTCCTCACCTGTGACAAGTTCCCAGTGGGCTGCTTGGTAGGCTTCGTTGTAATGAAATGTATTGATGCTGAGGGTCAGAGGTCAACGTTGCACTAGGATCTCACCTTCTCCTCTGTGTGCAGAACGAGGTGCAGAAGCTGAAGTTCAACATGTCGAGCCGCTGTGAAGCCCCCCTGGTGAAGACGGACATCCAGTCCAGCTGGTACAAGGACGTGGAGGGCTGCGGGATCCAGTGTGACAACCCCCTGTTCACCGAGGAGGAGCACAACGACATGCACGCTTACATCGCATACTTCGGCACCATCACCCTCCTCTGCACCTTCTTCACCCTGGTGAGGCACAACTACACTACCCATGATGCTTGTTTTGCCTTATAGGGAAAGAGATTATACATTTTCTTTTGCATGGAAATCAGAATCAGAATACTGGGGGGAAAGGCTTACGTGACAGTTTCTCCATTTAAACATTTAATAAGTTAAAGGTTTTGAAAAAAGTGAAAGAAACATATTTACGTTAACACAATAAGTTAAAATAAGAATGTGCAATCAAAAGATACAAATACATTGAATATAATTAAAATATCTATACAATATGAAGTTAAAGTAAAAATGTGCACATTGTACTTTAACATATTATATTTAATTATATTAGATTCAACTTTATTGTCATTGCACAAGGTACAAATACATTTATTTTGGCAAAAGTGTAGATTACAGCATCGTCACATATTAAGTTACAGTATCAGAGTTGGTGCATCTGTAAGGAAAGATACAGTCAAGTTGTATAAATATAAAATCATTATTTACAGATAAGATGCAAGTTCTGAAACATATTCAAACAAGGTGCAGGGTTTAGGCATGTGCAAGTGAAATACAGTTGTGACAAATATTAAACACAGATGTAAATATGTGCACAAAGCAGAGTAAGGTCCCTGCGTGTGAGGCGCTGTGGCTAGAAGCCCCAGGAGTGTGAAAGGGGAATGTGGAAGTAGAAAACATAGATGACCGTTTTTAAAGGGAAGCCTCCAAATATCCAGATGTTTCTCTGGTATAACCGTCTTCTCCTCCGTTTCAGCTCACGTTTCTTGCCGACTGGAAGAACTCCAACCGTTACCCGGCCGTCATTCTGTTCTACATCAACGCCTGCTTCTTTGTGGGCAGTATCGGCTGGCTGGCCCAGTTCCTGGATGGAGCGCGGGAAGAGATCGTGTGCAAGAGCGACAACACCATGCGCCTCGGGGAGCCCTCGTAAGTCTTTCAACACACCAGCTGAGATTAAACATCCTTCCCAAATACAGAAACTGAACCCTAAACTCGTGTTTGGCTACAGGTCTTCAGAGACGCTGTCCTGTGTCACCATCTTCATCATTGTGTACTACTCCCTGATGTCGGGTGTGATTTGGTTCGTCATGCTGACCTATGCCTGGCACACGTCCTTCAAAGCCCTGGGCACCACCCAGCAGCCGCTGTCCGGCAGAACCTCCTACTTCCACATGGTCACCTGGTCGGTCCCCTTCATCCTCACTGTGGCCATCCTGGCTATCGCTGAGGTGTGTGGGAGACCTTTTCATTATAAGATCTGACTTCCAGTCCTGCGAAAAGCTTTGATTTAAATCTCATGTCTCTGATGTGTTTTCTACAGGTGGATGGAGACTCGGTGAGTGGGATCTGTTTTGTAGGCTACAAAAACTACAAATACCGCGCTGGGTTTGTGCTGGCCCCCATTGGAGTTGTGCTTGTTGTCGGCGGTTACTTCCTCATTCGGGGTGAGACTCATTGACCATCCTTTGAAAAGCAATTTTAGCCCTTTTTTTCACATCCTTCAAAACTCTGTGAGCTCCAGAAGTGCTCCTCAAGAAATCATCGATCAACACCAAATCATTATTCATTTTTTTCCTTCCAGGTGTCATGACTTTGTTTTCCATTAAGAGTAACCACCCAGGACTGCTGAGTGAGAAAGCTGCCAGCAAAATCAATGAGACCATGCTGAGGCTGGGTATGTTCTCTCATCTGATGCCATTACACTCTACAGCAGGGACCTGAGAAATATTATATATACTATATAAATGTATAATTTAGAGTTGGAACGTGGATCAAACTAAGTATTGAAGAAAGTAAATGTTTCAGTTGAGGAACAAGAACATTTTCTACTCTCCTTTTACCCAATATTCTGTATTGTCATGTAAACAATTTCAATGTATTCCAAGTTACGGTATGAATGCCATTGGGGGAAGTGCCTGGTATCTTTCATCTGATATATTGCTCTATTTCTCTTTTTCAGGTATATTTGGATTCCTGGCTTTTGGCTTTGTTTTCATCACCTTCGGCTGCCACTTCTACGATTTCTTTAACCAGGCTGAATGGGAGAGGAGCTTTAGAGAATATGTGCTGTAAGTTTTACTGACTTTATTTCTTAATCAGAAATCAAAATCGAGTTTATTTCCAGGTACGTTACAAGGAATGTTTGGTGTATGATGCTGCAAACACCCACAGCATGAGAAAATAAGTAGTAAGTGAAAGTAAAAAATGTAACGATTGTAAAAAGAAAATATAAAAAGAAACTATTTAGCATTAAAAAAGAATAAAGACAAGTATTTACACCAAATTTAGAAATACAAAAGAAACTTATGACAAACTGCAGTGTATTATAAATTAAAGTAGAGAGAAATGTGACGCACAGCCTTAATGTGGCTGTAATCCTGTGATGGTGTTGCCTCACACCTGCACACAGAGATCCACAGACCGAGCTGAGACCCCAGACCGCTCACCCAGCTCTCAGCGGTGAATGCAGCCTCTTTCCCCGCAGTGTTGACACTGGCTGTAGTGGAAATCATTTAGCCTCAAAAATGTAAACCGTTCTCTTCCGCCCTGATGTGTAAAAGGCGTTCTTATTTGCCAGATCCAGCATTTGAATGTGCCTCAGTCCTACGTCTCAGAGGTGTAGAAGCACATGTTGGAGGCAGAGACTGATCATCGCTCTCTATGTTTTCAACAGGTGTGAAGCCAACGTGACAATCGCCTCTCAGACCAACAAGCCCATCCCAGAATGCACCATTAAGAACCGGCCCAGCCTGATGGTGGAGAAAATCAACCTGTTCGCCATGTTTGGGACGGGAATCGCTATGAGTACCTGGGTCTGGACCAAGGCCACCATCCTCATCTGGAAACGGACCTGGTTCAAGTAAGCAAACATAGAGAAAGTGAAATGTAACATTAATCATGGTGTTGCTGCTTCTCGAATACTATGTTCCAATCTCCTTAAGTCTCTTCTCATTGCTTGTGTTCACATCATGTCTACAGGCCTTTCCACGTCCATATATGGTTTTAAAAATATGTGAATCAGCCTGGGAAAAGTCTAATCTCTAAGCATCTAGACATGTACTAACCAAGCCAAGCTGCCTGAAAATCTGGGGATTTTCACCCTGATTATTTAAAATAATGGAGGCATTAATTCAGTCAAATCCTCCCAGTGTGTGCTAGTGTGTTGGTTTTTATGTGCAGCGCTAATCCTTGTAAACAGAGCTCACAAAGGCGCACTGTGACTTGGAGTGTATTCACAGGAATTCATTCCCTTCTTGCTTTGAAAAAACCAACAATAATTCAACTTCTTTATTGTTTTCCTTAGTGGCTTAAGACTGTCTCATCGTGATGTGTCTGAAATCACAAATGTCCCATGACTGCTGATGGCATTAAGTGTGTCATCCTCAGTCTCTCTTTCTGAACCTGCCTTATGTTGCTGTGTCAGGATCCTCGGCCGCAGTGACGATGAACCCAAGAGGATCAAGAAGAGCAAGATGATCGCCAAGGCCTTTGCTCTGAGGAAGGAGCTCCACAAGGACCCCGAGAAGGAGCTGTCCTTCAGCATGCACACCGTGTCCCATGAAGGACCCGTGGGTGAGTGTTTCAGTGGAGTCATTCAAAATATCTCGGATCATAAACTGGGAATATTGTCTGCTATTAAAGTAATCCAGTGGAAGCACTGTCTGGTGATGTTTGCATACTTCCACCTTGTGGTTAATAACCAAAACTGCAAGGAATCTGATCTAGATTGTTAGGGGAGTATTTATTTAGTTCAAAGCCGTTTTAACACCTTTCTTCTTCTGGAAAGCAACATTTTAGTTTTCAATGGACAAACAAAATGCCTCTCAATTCTATTTTACTGGAACAGCTTTGCTAATTAGTAGATATTTAAAAACTCGGGCACGTAAGAAACATATCTGTGTGGATAGATACTACTGTAGGTAGGCTAAGTGATAAAGTGTTTTTTTGTATTTGTTCAACTACCTCTCTAAGTTTGAGTGTGTAATGAAATGCCGCCATGTGTGCTGATGTAAAGAACCTCTGTGTGTTATTTGTCTTTCAAATGTGCCCTGAAAAGATTTTCCGTTAGCTTCTCTGTGGTGTAGAAGCTCCACAGTCAGGGACAACTGTTATGTCTGTAGCTAAGACCTGCATGACACATGCCTCTGCTGGTGTAAGCTGTGAGGCTGCTGCGGCTGCCCTGATTGTTTAGCTTGGAGCCGTTCAGAGCTATAGAGGCACTGTGGGGGGGGGGGGGGGGGGCATTAAGCACATGTTGGTTTCAAAGTTGTCCTCAGTTGTCCTTAAATGTAGAGTTGTGGTTTGTCTTTTCTCATTCATAGCTGGAATCAATTTTGAGCTAAATGAGCCGTCGAACGACATGTCATCAGCTTGGGCGCAGCATGTGACCAAGATGGTGGCCAGGCGAGGGGCCATCCTGCCTCAGGACATCTCTGTCACTCCCACTGGCACCCCGGGTGAGAACAGGAGGCCATGACTCTGACTTTACATCAACCCCTCTCCTGCTTTATGCCCTTTTTCCTTTCATCTTCTTTATCAGAGGACTTCCTTTCACAGACTTATGCTCCGTTATGTCTTTACAGTGCCGCCTCCGGACGAGAGGAACCGGCTGTGGATGGTGGAGGCTGAGATTTCACCTGAGATGATAAAAAGGAAAAAGAAGAAGAAGAAGAGGAGGAAGGAGGTGCGCCCGGCGGAGGAGGCGGTGGACCCCCAGGCCTATCAGCAGCGTGAGTTTGGGCGCAGCTCCGTGCCTCGCCTGCCCAAACTGCCCTGCCACCCCAGCCTGGTGGCCAACCTGCGGGAGCACCAGAGGATGGAGGAGGAGGTCCTGCCAGGGTCCTACCCAGACCCCCTGTCCTATGACGAGAGGTCCCCCTACCAGCCCTACCGGAGCGGTCGGAACAACTATGGCCGCAGCCTGCTCTCCAACCCTCTGACCTTCGACGACCGCCCGGAGGATCTGGGTCTCGGCCCGCGCTGCCCCCCCTCAGTCTCCACCTGGCAGCCTAGTGGACCCTCCCGTTACCCCGGAGACATGGATCTCACAGACGGGCTGTCGGAGAGGTTGGCCCACGTGGCTCGGGTACCGGGGGGCCGAAGGGTCAGCTACGGACCCATTCACTCCAGAACCAATTTAATGGAGGCGGAGCTTATGGATGCTGACTCTGACTTCTGAGAGCTTTGTGGTACACAGACAAGTAATCTTCACAAAGTGCTGGATACTTTAAACTCCTTACTAAAGTGCACCTAATCCCCAGAGGTGGAACTAAGCCGTCAGTTATTTCTTACTTCATCTTTCTTTTTAGAAGACAAAGGGAAAAGTGAAAAAATATGTTGTGAATAAGTTAATGAAAAGATTATTTTTTATACTTTATGTTTGTCCAATGAAATTTCAAAAGCAACTCCGTGATGACAAGGCGAGTGAGGCAGCTAAACTTTATGTGGCTTGAAACATTTCTTTATTCTGAAACTGGTACCAGACAGCGCTGTCTGTGACCACATGAACCCGGGCAGGGGGCAACTCGCTGTTGGATTTACCAGTGAGGACATTTGGAGATAAAGGCATTGGATAAAACTTTTGAAAGTCTACCCTTTGATGGTGTTATAATCATTTCTACTGCCCAAGGGAGGGCAGTAAAACCGCACTCATACAGAAGACCATACAGGTAATAAATGCTACAGGCTACTTGCAAATACTGTTAACCAAGGTCTTCTTTTGTGTTATATTTGTATTATCTTAAATCTTTTCTCTTTCCACCACTATTTAGCCATTAAATGCTTGTGTTCATGTGCAGTTAACTTGAGGTACTAACAGATATCTCCCTTTCCCTACTAATATCACTAAAATGACATACTCACACAGAAGCCATGAGTACTGAAATAAATGATTAAATGTGTATAAGATGTTACATTTAGGGCGCACAGATTCACATTGTGAAGATAAACTTCCTCCATTGAACTAACATCTGCAAAGTTACATGATTTAGTTTTAATAATAATTTAAAACCAGGCTGAAAAGCAGCCCTAGTGTCAACAGGAACACGACTGTTTAACCAGATAGCATACATTAAGTTACTGAGCTAAAATATCAACATATTATTTGCAGATGCTCTGTTGCCTGGTGCAATAAACCAACATTAGCTTATTTTATTTACCTGAATGGAATGGCTGACTTTTTCTCAATGAGTCCTTCTTGTATATTTCACTTAAAGTGTTATTTTGTTTCACTACAGTATTTTTACTTTAGTTAATCTGTTGTACATATTTAATATAAACTGGGCTTCACAACTGTTCCACTTTCTTTAGCTCAGTTGAAAATCTTTCATGTGAATTATTTTAGACTACACAGGGCTTAGAAGACACGTATTTCTCCTGAATGCTTCTTTTTTCAGCGTCTCTCTTTCTAAATGTGTGTTCTGTAAATAGGCTGTTCATAGATTTCGCAATAAGGGTATTATTTGTACAGATTGATGTATCCCATCACTTGATTACTCTGCTGATATGGTAAATAAAAAGGGAAGAGTATGCTATAAAAAGATGTCACTGTACTTGCTGTAACCAAAACTTCACTTAGTATTGTCGTTTTACACTCAATATGGATACATGATGCTAAAGTAGACAGTGGTAGCTGGTGCTAAATAGTTTGTCTAATGTAATGTCTAGTTGTTCATGTGAGATGTGTATGATAGAGAATTATTTATGTCATCAGTAGATACCATACTGCTATGAATTAGACGATATAGGGAGTTTGGCAACAAAATGAAGCACAGCTGATGTCCACCTAAAAAGAGAAAAGATTGGTAATGTTTAAATAAAGATCAGTTTGGAAATTATGTTTTATGCCTTGAAAGATTTGGTTTTGGTAAGCTGTCAAGAAGATGTAGGCCTCGTGTTTATTCTTGTTTAGTTTCCCAACTCTGTGTAAAAAGGTACTGTCAGTTTGTGCAGCTGTACGTTTCTGTTTTGATATGTAAATAAAAGTAACCCTACACTCATCTGTGTGATTTGACGTGTTGCCGCACCATGCACAGGAGCCACAGTTTGTGCAGAAAGGTTTTCACAGAGGTCCTTTTTTATTCGACAGCTCAAAGATAGAAAAAAAGCTTTTGTTCTAGAGACTGCCTAGGGATGAGATCACACCAGCCACAACGCTAAAACCAGCCTGGGGCGACAAGTGGGGGGCCACCACTTCCAACCCATTAGTTATTTATATTTGCTTAAAAAGTTGCTCATATTTGTATACAAAATAATGTGTTCATATTATGTATTACACAGGGTTGGAAGGGTTACTTCAAAAATCTATTCCGTTACAATTATTAGTATAACAATTTTAACCAGTAACCCTAGTTAAGCATCAAAATATAAAAGTAATGTAACCTGATTACTTTCCGTTACTATGGATTACCTCAATGTCAGATGCAATGCAAATAAGTGTGTAATGTCAGACAGCAGAACAATGTGACTGTAGAAAAGAAGAACCCAAGATATTTTTAGGATCAGAAATGATTTCACTTATAGGAAACGCTGCCTTTCACTCAGCATATTCAGGCAGTAGCCTTAACACCAACACTGAAACACATGAACATATACTACAGTTTAAAAAAGCAGAAATGAAATCTGAGCTGACAGAAAATGCTGCGTTTTAGTTTAATAAACAGCTCACACACACTATTTTATGATCATATATGTTGGGGAAATAATTTCCAAGGCCCGTAACTTTGACCCAGTTTATCAGTTCATACTGTCCTGACTGAGCACAGGCACCTGTAACCTTGGCTGCTGTGCTCTCAGTGTTTTATCTCCCTGTTCCTGCCTGTTGGCGTCAGCTGATAGAGGTGTTATGATTCTATCTTGTTATGCTCAATGTTGATTATTCTCTCTGAACTAGCTAAATACATGGGTCTGGGGTAGAGTTCTTCAGAATTTATCGTGGCATCTCAACCGTGTGGTCAACTCGTGGCCCATGATATGTCTTGTGAATTCTCCGGCTGAAGCTCCAAATAAACCATCAGTGTTTGCCATCAAAGCTCCAGCTCTCCTCGTGTCTCTGAGTCCAGACTCCAATTGCTTCAAAAGTTTCCCCTACAATATAGGTCCACCTGCTGAATTAAAAAAAGGAACAAATGAACCAAAGAAAGTGAAAACTATACAGCAGATTCAGGCAGGAGGCGTATAGATTCACACTTAAAGTGGACCTATCATGCTATATTTGAATAATATAGTGTAGGACCATACCTATATAAGGCATATTTATACTCTTTTTTTTTCAAAATACCAAACAGATCATGCATTTTAGCCATGCCTCATTTCGCTCAATTTGAAAAATGTTAGCTCTGTTTTTGCAAGGGCTGATTATGTGAGAACAGCACCATCTAGAGGCCTGGCATATGTACTACAGCGTCTCCAGCGCTTTCGAACGGCAATGGCCGTGGCTGTCTCCTCCTGATTGCTGGAGTTGGCCCAATAGCCGTAGCGCCACTGTCCTGACGTCAGGACAGTGTTCAAATCTGGATCAGTTTTTATCAGATCCGAAAAGGAAAATAGAGAGGGTTGTGTTTTCTGACACTTGGTGAGTTCCCTGGAACACATATTCATGTAGTATACATACAAAATACAAGACATACAAAAGTGCATTTTGCATGATAGGTCCCCTTTAAAGTATTAGCCCACAGGACAGTACAGTTTACAAAGAAGAAATACAATCTGATCCTTTCACAACAAACACTTTACGCTCTTTTTAGTCTTTAACTAACGTTGTAATCCCCATTTTTAGAAACGTAACAGTAATCTGATTTTTGTTGTCACTGTGACGGAATACACTTACCTTTTTTTTGTATCCTGTTTATGTAATCCCTTTAGATGTAATCTGTTACTCCCCAAACCTGGTTTTACTAAAAACTGCAGTGTCAATTTGTAACACTAGGGAAACTGTGGTAACAAAGGTTAAAATCCCACACACAGCGCTTTAATGGATAAAAAAAATTAAAAAAGAGAAACAGATACATGTAACACATACGTGTGAATAAAATAGGACGTAGGAGTGACATTCATACATAAAATGGTAATATTTTAAATGTTTCTGTGTTCGATAGTTCCCTCCCCTCTGTGTGCCGGTGTAGGCTCTGCTGGTGGGTCTCGCGCATAGACTGTATATATAAAGGTCTCGCGCAGATCAGCCTTCTTAAGGAGTGTGTTACCGCTCCTCGCGCAGATGAAACAGGAGGGAGACTCGGGGATAAACAGAGCTAGCATGTTCCTCAGAAAGTGCTCCCGGACGCCGGGAGATGTGGAGAGCCTGCGGCGAGGGTCAGCGGCGGACACCTCAGGTAAGACCAAGCTCCTGCCGCTGCTGGAGCTTTGTGGGACCTCCGTTCAACTAACACGCTGCTTTTTGGTCTTTATCTGCGTGTTTAAAACCCAGGCTGTCAGATTCGTCTTTGTGTTTATTTTACATTTGACTTGGTCGTTAACGCGTTGATCAAAGTCACCTGTGCTGCAAACTTCCCTCTAATTAGAGCTCAGCATTTGTCTCTGTCTGCTGTCTGCCTGACAACTAAAGAAGTCACTTTCTTCCTAGAGTAAAGTGTGAATTTATTATAAACTTAACTGATGTGAACTTTGGTATACTTTTATTCAGACAGAAGCTTAGAAGTATATTGTTTACTGGTCTTTTACAGAACATTCTAACTTATCCAGAACATTTTATATTGTGTATTCTTTGTGATATGTTTCTTTTCTACTGCAGATATTTATATATTCACTGTTTATTTTTAAAAACACCTTGTTAAAATAATGTCCCAATTTGGGAAGAATAAAGTATCTATCTATCTAGTGGTGAGGATTGTGTCCTGAATCAGAAGCAGTTCTTTCCTGTACTTTTAAAAGGGATTGTTTTGGGATGATCACAACTTTTGAACCCTAATCCAAGTTGTTTACATCATGTTGGTTTGGTAGATTGTCAGTCTGGATTGTTCCCCACTTTCATTCTTCATCTAACACACTGGTTCTGTCATCTCCCCACAATTCATTGCTGTTTTCAAAAGGTGTCAGCTCACAGCAAGTAGTTTTAAAAAGGCACCAGTCAGTTGTGAAGTCTGAATGAGACTTATCCTCTTCCAGTTGCCTTCAAAATACATCCACTGTTTCTTTACTGAGACACAGGGAGTAACAGTCAAGGCATTATAAGCAGATTAAATATCAACAGTCCATGCATGCTTCTGTTTTAATTGCAAAGCATAGCACTGAGTTCATGTCTCTGTGTGCTGCAATGCATTTCTAATGTGATCAGTCCTGCAGGGAGGGGGGGGGGCGGGGGGGCTGGGGGCTGAGGTGACACTGCATGACTCTCAGGAGGTTTTTGTTAGTCACACACATCTCCATGGCTGGAGGGCTTTGGTGGAGGATGTCAATCAAGCTCACACCTCTGCAGTGATACCCTGCAGGGAGGTGTGTAGATTGATTTTTTAGGTGGAGTCGGCGGATATGGGGAAGGACGGACACCAAAACAAATACCCCCTCCAGATTTACCGTCCTCTCACCATCACTGTTTTCTCTCTCTATACATCCATGGCTTTCCCTGTGTTCTAAGCATGAACACACACTGTTGCTCATCTGCAGGAACAGCATTGTTCAGCCCGAGCAACTTATGCACAACAAAGAACAGAAAGTAGAGAACAGAGAAACAGATATTCAATACATCAGTCAAGTGTATTGAATTAGATTGGATCTACTCGTCTCCAGACTTCATTTAGCATTTTTCTCTGCTTCTCCTACAAGTCATGTCATGTCAAAATATTACTGATGCAAATCCAAAAATAAAGAAAACAAGGTATTTTTGCTTGTAATAAGTACACAAATCTGCCAATAGAACAAGTGAACATTGCTTGGTAAGATTTCTTGAAATAAGGTGGGATATTTAGATAAATCCGATGTTGTTATTAGCTGGGGAAACTTATTTTGATCTATATTTGACCAGAATCAGGAAATGTTGTGTTACAAAACGAGCCAGAAATGCTCCAAAGTTTTTAGTTTTCTGATTTGAATTTTTTTCTAATAAATATGTAAATCAAAAAAGTTTAATCTGAGATACAAGTCAAAATAAGATGTTTTTTAAGAGTCTTTGATTGAACAATATACTTAAGATGCATTGTCTAAAAATAAGACCCTATCTCACTGTATTGTTACTATCCTACTTTTATATTCACAGTCAACTTGTATATTTTATACTCATATTTTTTCTATTTTGAGATGATTCTATTTTATAATTATTTATTTTTCTACTCTTTTTAATTTCTAATTATGTGCAATGCCTTGTCTTATATGTTGCTGCAACGAAAACAATTCCCAATTTGGGATGAATAAAGTATATCTTATTTATTAGGTCTTGTACAAAGTGCAAAGACATATTCTGTCTAGATGTTAGACAAATATACTTGGCAAGATTTCAAGTGTTGGTACTGTACTTTGCCTTTTTAAACCCTTGACAGTTCTGCATGATTTTGTCATATTTAGAGAACTCTGTGGATCCTGAACAGCATCACTGGTTGCCGCAGCAACAGTGTCAAGATGAAAGGTTCCAGCATCCAGAGCTGGGCGCAGTGGAGACCCCCTCCCCGGAAGCTTCTGCACACCACTACTGCCACTACACCCCCAAGTGCTTCCTCACCATGCACAGAGGTAAACCACCACTGTTTCTGTAGGGATCTGTGGACATGGGAGATATGTAGTTTCATATAAGTCAACTAAAGGAGAGAGAGCAGTGTATTTTCTCTTGCCATGTGGAAGAGCTTTCTCACTGTGATCTGCACAGGAGGACATGGCATCACCCGATCTACTCCGTCTCAGTATGGAGAAGAGGCTTGGCATGAAGGCACCACAAAGACCACCATCAGAGCTGATAATGAGGTGGAGGCTCACAGGGAGGCCAACAACTACAAGGTGGGCAACGACTGGCTTTAGAGTATACTCCCCTAACCCTAGAATCAGAATACCAATT